TCTTGTGCAACAAGAAAAAATGCTAGAAAGGAATAGCAAAGCCCCTTCTTGTACTCATCAGAATTCAATAGAACTATTTAGAACAGGAAATATCAGAATCCAGTCATCTCTCCCTCTCTTAATGATCCATCCATTCACTACCCATCCATCTTGTGTAAGCCATTGAGATAGTTGTTACTGCTTCTTTCTTCTGTGGATGACAGGTGAGGCACAGAAAGGTTAAAGATCCTTTTCGAAATTCTTTATATCACACACAAGACTTTGTGATTGGACGAGAGAAAGTAGTTTGATCACAAAATTCACCATTTTAAGGTAGAGTTGTCAGAACTTCCCCTCCTTTCCTACCAAGATGTTTTACAAGAGCAAGAATCAAAGAATTGTTGTTTGAAACAGCTTCTTTACACATGGCAAGTTTCTGGCATGACATATTGGAGACGTAAAGTAATTGAAAATTCATTAATTGGGGATCAAACAAATGAGCTAAAAATGAGCCTGAAATACCAGACATTTGTTTTACATGTTTGGGGGGTGAGATTGTTAGGAGAGGAAGTGTTAACTGTAACATGTCATGGCACCATCTTCATAATGTACACGTGTGATACTATTTCTGTGATAATATCACCATGGATCAAATCTACGTAAGTCTTTAAGGAGATTCAGAATTTGTCCTAAATTAGTGCACAGCACTAGAATCTATAAACAGAGTTTTATGAAACATGAAAGTGTAGTTTTTTTATCAATATGATCCAGACATGCTTAGGTTTTCCTATTCCATTTTCCCAAACTTTTTTTTACCCAAATTATACCATATAGCTCATAAATATCTAAATAAAAGTCAATTTAAGGACTCTCATTTTATCTATACAGTATAAAGCTTTTCATTCTTGTACCGATTTCATATTTTTTATTATTGAAAGTTTATAAGCTGACACTAGTCTAATTCTGAAGGCAGAATTCTCTTTAAATTCCAAGTATGAACATACCATATTATAATAGAACATACAACTGAGCATTTTTCCTGAATATAATTTTTAATTGAATTAAATTAATATGCTATAGAATATGCAGAAGCACAACAGAAGAACTCTCTTTGTATTCACTTTAAAAAGATCTCATAGAGCAACAGGATTACTTAAATCACAGTGGACCATGTATTACAATTACAATATGATAGTTCCTGATACTTTCTTTTAATGCAAGACTATGTGCATAAAGGCATTTTAGAAAATAGGTAAAATATTATTATACAGTTTATTAGGTTTATTTTTATGAGGCAGTTAACAACCAGAGTTGCAATAGGAAACACATTTTAATATAACAAAATAAAAACACATGTTTTAGCATAAATATACTTTTCCAGAACATTACCTAAATGAATATAGAAATAGGCACTGGTTTAAAACATAGTAAACTAATTCTATTTGATCTTGTAATGTTTTTACTACAGGATTTATTTACTAGTGCTATTTTCAGCAATACTTATTTCAGGAAAAGCATAATAATTTGCAGCTTGTTATTTTAACTGGTTAATAGGAAAAAAATAATTTCACTCAACATTATTGCAATATATCAGTTTAACGGATAAGTTTAAATTGCCTGAGTAACCTGAATAAATTAATTAACATTTCTATCTTAGTAGTTTGGAAAATGGTGCAGTTGTGATTTTGGTGCAGTAGCAAACAATTATTCTGGTATTGCTAACACAGACAAAATCTCTAGACATGATTTCTTTAAAAGTTTCATGAAAATCAGGCTTCTGCTTCAAAATAAAATAAAAACCTAGGCTTGGGGCAGACCATGACAAGCCTATTCCTTTCATTAATTTTTTCTCACTGATTTTGCAAGTGGTCAATCTAATACTGACACTGTTGATTTTGAATACTAAAACTAGCGACAAGATAACCATCTAATTTCCTATGCACACGTTCTCTACTTTAAATGACAGTTTGTCAGAAACCAACTAAATTTAGGGTGGTTTCATGTATTTGGGGATGATTTGTGCATATGTCTATGTTTTCCTCTTTTAATAATAAAGATATATTTATCCTGGTTGCTGAGGTTTTCCAGCCACACTCCAAAAATATACTAATCATTAACTTTCAACAAAAATTTCCAGCATGCACAAATGCACATAATAATTTAAAACTATGAAGTTTGGCCTCTTTAACATTGAAAACAATGCCTTTTCCAAATACAATTAATGTCATCTAATTCTTTCTAAAAGTAATCACTTTTTTAAATTTGAAAGATCAAAATTGCAAAGAGGAAAGGAATAAGGCCCATAAAGGAATACTTGTACACAAAAGGGAAATCCAATGTTCCATATTTAAAAATTGAAAAGAAAGAATAATTTGACCATTAATATTGAAGGATGGGCAGTAAAAAGGTTCTCTGAATTCCTAGAACAGTCTTCTCACTATTTTGGAATCACAGCACAAGCTCAGGGCACAATTTATCCCTACTTTGGCAGTGTGAAAATAAAAGTGCATTCTCAATGATTCCATAGGATAATACTGAGAACAAAAATTCCTTTAACAATCTTCCTTATCCACAGTGGCAAATGTTTCTGAAATCAGAAAGCAAAGTGTATTTCGGGGAAAATACTTTAGGAAAATGTCTATTATGTTTATTTGATGTGTAACAAGGTGCAAGGTGAGATTGTTTCGTTTATTGCACAAGATATCAAGACTTTTCACAGAAATAACCTTACACTGGTTCTGGCTATACTTAAGAGGATTAACACTGCCTTTTGTTTGGAAACACTGCCTTTTTTCAGCGAAGCAGAAAATAGTCAATTAAAATTAAATTGTACAGGTAGTCCTCAACTTACAACAGTTACTGTTCAAAGTTAAAACGGCATTGCAGAAAGGGACTTATGACCATTTTTACACAACCATTGCAGTATCCCCATGTCGTGATTAAAATTCAGACACTTGACAATTGCCTCATATTTATGATGGTTTCAGCATCCCAGGGTCATGTGATCATCTTTTGTGAGATTCTGACAAGCAAAGTCAATGGAAAACCAAGATTCACTTAACCATGTAACTAACTTAACAATTGCAGTCATTTACTTAACTGTGGCAAGAAAGGTCGCAAAATGGGACAAATTTACCTAAAAACATCTCACTTAACAAGTGAAATGTTGGGCTTAATTGTGGTCATAAGGCAAGGACTACCTGTATTGTTATATGTCAGCAGGGGTGGGATTCAAATTTTTTAACAACCGGTTCTGTGGGCATGGCTGTTGCTGGGCATGGCTTGGTCATGTGACTGGGCGGACACGGCTTGGTGGTCATGAGCGTGGCCAACTCAACATCACTCACATCAAGGCACGCATCTCCTCACATGGCTTCTTGTGACTGTGGGGATGCTGCAACAGTCATGTGAAAAATGGTCATAAATCACTTTTTTCAATGCCATTGTAACTTTGGTCACTCCACACAAGCAAAGTGCGAGCAAAGAGGGGAAAAAAACTCCAGAGAGGTTCCTGAGAAAGTAAGTCTAGTCCTGCCAAGAATGTAATAAGGGTTAATGGAGAGGCAGTTTCTGTAAGGAACACCAGAATGTTTCCTTCCTGCCTTGCTTACAGGATTAGGCCAGTAATTTCTTCTAACAACCGGTTCTCCGAACTGCTTAGAATGTTAACAACCGGTTCTAGCAAATAGGTGCAAACTGGTAGAATCCCACCCCTATATGTCAGCATATATTATACAATAATGTATAATGTACATTATACCCACATACAGGTGTGTACCTATTAGATGTTTTTTATTATGTTATTAAAAATAGGAAAATGTATTTCAATAGTTACATCCAGCTAATAGTAGCATATTCCAGTAATCGCATGCAAAAGATTTCTTATCCACACAATAATTTCTATTATCTGCTATCAGCATTAGGAAAAGAAACACATGAGTATTTTTTCCTTTGTGTGTATGCTGAAGTGCTCCCAAACAGGGATCTGAAGAGCACTTACTGTGAATACTTACAACATAAAATATGTGTGCATGTTTAGATTGTGTTATTCTCCAGATTCAATATTATAGGTAAAAAAATCAATGTAATAAGTATTCTACTAAAAATCCAAAGTAAATTCTACAGGCCTGAGGAGTGTCAGATTATCATTAGTTCCTTCTGTGAATGCATTTTATCATAGCTTAACATGCCAAGTGCCACAATGTGCTGGGTTAAAAACACACACACACACACACACACACACACACACACACACACAGACCCTCTGGAAAAGGATTACTCCTGAAATGAAAAGAATGGAAATCTCATCAAAATGAACAGAATACAGCTTCTCTACTTTCTGGATCAGAATTAAAGGAAAAGTTGCATCTATTTTTTTATCTAGAAGTTGTACTTGAAATAGAAAAAGCTCTTTTCATTTTTCAGAGATTCTTTAAAAAGGTTCGTATCATAACTTTACTACAATGTGAAAGTCATCAACTCTTTGGTAGATATTTCAAATAGTTAGCATGGAGATTTCCATTATTCAAAGATGCATAGTTGTCATGCAGGATGGCAATTTTTGAGTGCCTTGATAAAATATATTAAAAGTCAGATGCATTCAAATGAATGATTTGTAAACATCAATGTTCCTGGGATATTGAATAAAGATTACTTGAAAAAAAAAACTGCCATAAATAATTATATCCATTTGGCAGGTATGGTAACATAATTGTAGAACTGAAGATGGTAAGAAAACCATCTTTGTACTGATACTTGTAAAATCTAAGATGTAAACTCTAATAATAAAAAATATCATATGTTACATGGCTTTTTGATGTCAGAGTCAACCCGCAGAGATTAATTAGTAATAAAACAACACTGAAGTTTTCTGTTTCCTAACCATAACTTTACATGGCTAACCTATAAGTTTATCCCCAGTGACCTTGAACTTTCCTTACTGGCTACAGCCATGCATATTCATGCTCTCTGGAAACTATTCCAATTTGTTTATTTTAATTTAATAACAGGCTCAGTTATTGTTACCTTCCACTGGCTATTATTACAGAAGTTCCAATATAATGAGGAAGTGTGGATTCTTTGTGAGTTTCAGGGGAAGAAGCTGATGAGGGACTTTGGTTTTTGTAAAACATATTTACATCCTCAGAACTGGGTCCATAATTTTCTGTTATGTGGCCTGTCGCCATGCATGAAGAAGTTTGAAATGTGCCGTGCTTGGCTAAAACTCGGTGATAGTTCAGAAAGACAAGTGGAACTTGTCCTGCATGTCTTACATCCACTGTATGGTCATTTTCAGGGTCACTATTAAGCTTTGCAACCATTCTGTCCTCAGATTCCAGTTCACTTAAATTTGTAGCATGATGAGCAATATTTTCATACTTTGGTTCTTTCATATAAATTCTTCTTGTTTGTTCATATACTGTTGGAACTGGGACAAAGTGACTTAACTGTCCAATTGATTTACTTTGGAAAGATTCTGATTTTGATACAAAGGAATTGGAGAAGGAGTTTGAAAAGGCCTTTTCACTAATACTGTTTTTTTCTTGCAAGTCTCTGTTGAAAACTACTTTATTTTCTTCTTTAATGAGATGGTGTGCTGGACATATTCTGTTTTCTGTTTTGCTGTGTTTTATAATGCCAGAATCATAAATTTCTTCTTTGTATTTGCTATTGGGTGTTAAGCTGGCACAACTTGTAAAACTTTCAGAGGTACTTTCATGGTTGTATTGTCTTTGTGGTAGTGGCACTTAGGGGGAAAAAAGAAATGCATTAGATGGACAGGATTCAGAAGATGAAGACAAAGTAAAAAACTGCAACTTGTACATCTAAATATAAATCATTAAATACAAGTGGGCACATTTGTCAGTTTTAGAATAAAAAGCTGCTGGTATTGACATTAAAAAGAATGAATAAGCAGCTACTCTACATTCAGCTACTGTATACTCAGGAGGGAAAGGAACACTATTCCACATCAAATTTCAAGATGAAGTTAAAGCAGCTTCTCAGAATCTCTAAAGAGTGAAATTATTAATTTAGTGAACCTGAATTGTGGTCATAACTGTAATTCATATCAAATATGTCAGATTTAAAAGATGAAAACATCTCGTTTATACTTATCTGCTGTGTTTTTTCTATTTTGTAGGAAACTGCAAAATAAATTCCCAGTTTCATTTGAACTTAATTATATTAATTTTAAAAATTCTTTCTGTCAGTTAATATTATGAAGATATGGTATCCTATTACCTTCTCTACAATACGTAATTATCAAGAAGCCTGAACCAAGGCTATACTTCTTCATAGACTGAGATATTCAGATCTATGGGTGCATCATATAAAAAATAAATGCAATCTATGGGGATTTGGGTTAAACTTTTATGTTAGGCTTATGTGGCCAAACTGTAATAGATATAGATAAAAATACCATTATTATAAATGTAGATGCCAATATCAGTGGTGGGATTAAAATAATTTAACATCCGGTTCTCTGCCCTAATGACCGGCTGGGTGGACATGGCCATGGTAGGTGTGGCCAGGGGGTGTGACAAGCAGCACTCGGCCTCCTGCACCCCACGGGAGCAAAAATGGGCCACGGGGGGGGGTATGCATCACCTACCCGCACCCTGTTTTGGGCCTAATAGGCCTCGCTGCAGCCTCCTGGGAGCAAAAACAGTCCACGGAGGGGGGGCTGCACTGCATCCCCTGCACCCCATTTTGGGCCTAGCAAACCTCCCTGCAGCATCCTGAGAGCAAATACAGGCTGCGGGGGGCGCTGCACTCCCTCCACGTCCTGTTTTGGGCCTAGTAAGCCTCCCTGCATTTATCTGGGAGCAAAAACGGGGCATGTGGGGACCCTAGAAGAGGAGGGGAGGAGCCAGCCAGAGGTGGTATTTGCCGGTTCTCTGAACCAGTCAAAATTTCCAGTACCGGTACGCCAGAACTGGTCTGAATCGGCTGAATATTACCTCTGGCCAATATCCAGGTGCAAAATATAGGAATTGATGCAACAAAATTTGCCAATGATTTAAAGTACTCTTAAATCTAGGGTAGTTGTCTTTCAGACTCTAAATTTAATATAACTACCTCTGACTTCCAGGAGTTCGATTACAACAACTAGAACAAAGAGAATAACTATAAATCCTATAAAGATACAAATAAAGATCTGATGATTTAATCTAAAGTTGGTTATGTTATCAAACATGTTATCCAACTGTTTTCTATGACATGTTATTAAAATTTAAAAATGGTTTAAAATCTAAACATTATTCTTAAATTGCTTGTATAATACCCACCTTCATAATTTTGTAAGAGATTATGGCGTACATTACATGCTGACTGATCAGGACTTTTACATGGTGATTGACTCCCTGGTACAAGAGAATTGGTGTAGTGCCACTGGCACTCTCCGCTTGTTTGCAATGTACTTAAGAAGAACCGTGCTACTTCGCAAGGTGTTCCTTGAGGCTGGCCAAATTTAGAAGGCAGCATTTGTTTTTTGCTACTGAATACATGAGAGTCTACAGGGAAGTGCCCATAATGATATGAGAAAGGTAAGCTGTACGATGGAGTGTATAAAAATTCACTGTTTTCTGAATGAAAGGCTTGTTCTTGGATGGTGGTAGAGTTTGCTATGGAGCTGGATCTCCAGCTTCCAACTTGGCCACATTCCAGCTTCTCTGTCTGGAAGGAACCATATTGCTGAAAATGAAAAAAGAAGAAAGTGTTTAATAGTGGATTCTGAAATCTGTCAGTATTTCAGGGTAACAGAATGCATGCAGCCAAGTAATCACCTTGAAACATTCAAACACTAAATGAGACAAGCTTAACAAGATTTAATTTCTAAAGAGAGGAACCTTTATTAAGCTTTTCTGGGCCTCCTTTCATTGCCTCTGAAAACCCTGCTCTTTAATCCTAGATGTTCAAAACAATCTATAGTTCTTAGTGCAGGTAGGTAGTCCTCAACTTATGGCCACAATTGCAGAAAATTTTAAAAAATCAGTAAAGATGCTATCTAAACTGTTGTCAAATAGCATTTGAACCATTCAGATTTTAAACTTTTTATCTTAGGATAAAAAAAAATGAGGGCTAAAAAAAACTTATATGTTTTGAAACAGACCAGAGAATAATAAACACCAGCTGGGTCAGGCTAGGAAACTTTCTTTCTGTTTTTAATGCACAGAGGTGCAATCTTAATAACATTATTAACGAAGATATTATGAGAAATTATGCCGGTGGCACCAAAGATGACAATCTCTACAAATGAGGTGTGCAGTAAATGGGAGCAATGAGAAAATCTTTAATCCTGGCTAGTGCCAGTATCCAAAAAGAAAAATACTTTACAATTATAATTATCACAAGAGAACATATTATTGATATAACATGCCATTGTGATATTTAAAAAAAATATAGATAACAATAATAACAAAAATCAACAGAGTAGTGACAGCACAGCAGTTTTTACTCTTGTCCCTGAATATTTATGGACCAGTATGTCAACTTGTAGGTTAAAAAGGTGCAAATATTGATAATTTGAATAGCAGAGAAATTTTAATGACTATTCATAAAGCACTAACTGCAAAGCTAGTATACCTCCTTTAATAATCATGTGCTGTTCCAGAAATCAGGTGGTGGAATGAAATGGTCGTTATGTGAACTTGTGACAAAGAAAGACACTGAAAAGATTACTTTTTCCAGTTTCACACAGCTACGTCTGTGTTACTCTCATTCTGATATGTGTTTTGCCTGACACACGAACTTTGGTTGTAGATGGATTCATCGGTCAGAAAATGAACTTTTCATTACTGATTTAACCGTTATATTTGTAAATGGTCACTAATTGATATAGTCACTAAACAAGGAGTGACTCTATTGCATCAAGGCTGTCATGCTATTAATATATGAACAGTTTTGTCCAAAGGGGAGGGAAAAAAAATACCTGCTGTGGATAAGGAGTTGTTCTGAATTTCATCTTCATCTTATTACTCCTAGGTTTTGTTGCTTTTCTTGTTTCTTGTGAGGTAGACATCAAATTTCTGCATGAAAATTGTGATTTAGAAATGGCAATTTGATCCAGTGACAGTGGAAGTTCCTTATATTCTATATCTCTGCAAGACAACATCATAGCAACAGATTGATTACAATCTATTTCTCATCTAGTTTTGCCAAGAACCCATCCATATAAACACAGTATTAAACGTTTTATCCAAAAACATGTATTAAAATGAAATTCAATCCAAAAGTAATATAGGAGATTGCCTTGAAATTGCTGGTAACTATAATTCATAAACTTTGAAATTTAAATCAAAACCCTCAATTTGAACTACAAAGATCTTTCCAGAGATGAAGAATTTAGGAATATGCAATTATAGGAGACTTGGTCTCTTGGTTGAGGTTGCACAGAAGTAAATGGACAACTGACAAAGTTAATTTATAATGTTTCTGTATAAACAGCAATTATATATGCATTCAACTTACATATAAACTCAAGATATAATCTGAGAACAGCCTGGATTCACTATAAAAAAATCTACTGTCAGGCTAAGGCCAAGAACAATGAAGAACAATTCAGCCAGAGTTCAGTTCTTATTTGCTCAAACACTATAGCATCTCACCAGATTAAACTCTTACTATTCTCACCCTAACCAATATGTCCTAGGACATTCTAGGGAGTGACTATCCTTACTTACTTCCCCTGTCCCCTATCTATATCCTCCTGGCAATACTGCCTCTTGTCTTGTCCTCCACCCCGTTTTTTTTGGAATATTCTTTCTCCTTTCTAGGAAACCGCCACTTCTCCGTGGTCCATTACACCTTAGTATGCATGATATTTCCTTTAGGTTATTATAAGAAATGACCAGGTGGAGCCCGAAGGTGGGGTCAAATGCATCATTTGTATGAAATCCTTACACAGCCATTGGAGACCTAAGTCCAAGCCCCTGTGAATTCTAGTTGCCTCTTATCTAGCATTGATTTCCCTTGGCTATCAGTAGATCAGATTATTTGTTGTGTATAAATAGCATGCAATAAACTTTTAGTGCTTTGAATTCAGTTCCTATTTCTACTTATTTGCACCCCAAATGTATCACCAATAGTCAGAATACAACTTGTTTTAAAAATGTCTGAACCAACATTTCTAATTCCTGCCACAAAATATTGCTGTTATCAAGCAAGCCAGCAGAGAAAAGTCTTTGGCTTATCTAGTCTATAGGTAAATAACTCTTGCAAACGTATGCGGACTCAATTGTATGCAGAAGCTTATTTAGTTGCTTTGCTGTGCTACCAAAAAATAAATCATGACAGATAGTTGGAGTGTTGTGTATTAATAAGACACTGGGGATGCACAAAAGCCTTCCCCCTATTAAAAAAAGTGGAGAGATATCTAAAGGAAAAGCGGGGGGGAGATAGGGAGGGAAGGAAGGGAAACCCTACAGTGAATGAAATGACACGTGTTAGTTCATAAAGTGGCTGAAACAATCAGGCTGCAAGATTATGACTCCAGGATAATTGAAAATAAGAGGTTTTTCAGAACGTAGCCAAATATTGACATTTTTTCTGCCACAAGTGGAAGAGAATCTACATTCCCTCTGAAGAATATCAACAAGCAGTTGGTAGTTGCTTGTCTGATACTAGAACCAAAAATGGTGTTGTCAGCCTCAAGATCTCTTCGGGTACCCCAACTATTATCCTTTATT